TGTGTCTTCTGCAAGACACATAACTGTAAAACAGGGATATTAATAGTATCACTTCATTGTGAGGATTTGAGGTAATCCATGTAAACTTCTAACAAGGCTGTGAGGTATCTTATCACGTATGTGTTGGCTATAGCTTCATAGGTATAGAAATTTCAGGAAGGCTAAGTGTTATTGAGTGATAGAATGGTGTGAGCACTGCTAAAGAACACTGATTTGCAAGGAAGAGAATGGCCCACAGACCCTTTCTAGCTGCAGCCAGAAATGCACAGGGGCCTTTTAGTGATTAAATGCCACATGACTAGCATTTTTTTTTTTTTTATAGAAACCAAGGATTACAGGTGCCTTGGGTAGTCATTCACTTTTGAAAGATTTTTCTAGGTCCTGAATGATGCCATACATGCCTCTTCATGGGTTTTGGATTCAATGAAAAGAAAAAACAAACAAACAACTAAACCAAACAGAACAACAACAAAAACAACAAAAAACTGAACCAAACCAAACCAAACAAGAACTCCAGTGATATCCCAAAGAACTGTATAGTATACTCATGATGTGTTCAAAGACCAACAGTCAAGTTGTTCCTTAAGACTATTATACACCCTTAACATCTTAGTTCCTTTTCTACTGCTGTGAAGAAACACAATGACTAAAGTGACTTATGAAAGAAAGTACTGCATTTGGGGTCTTGTTTACAGTTTCAGAGGATGAGTCTATAAATATCACGATAGAGAATATGGCAGCAAGAAGGCAGGCAGGCAGAGAATTGGAGCAGAAGTTCCTATCCACAAGCAGGAGGTAGAGAGAGAATTAACCAGGAATGAAGTAGACTTTTGAAATCTGAACTTCTGCCATCAGTGACACACCACCTCCTAAGTCTTCCCCCAAAACATCTTCACCAACTAACAACTAAGTATTGAAATATATGAGCCTAAAGGAGGGGGCAGGGGGAGAGCATTCTCATTCAAACCACTGCACTTAACAAAGCAAAATTTTAAGATTCTTTTCAAATTCTCCCAAAGCTATCCTCACCTACTTGCATCTTCACTCCCATTTCAGAGGTAGGAATTACAGAGAGGTAGGATTACAGAGAAGTAGGATTATGGGGGGGGGGGATTTTCCAAAGGCCCTCTGTATTCAAGTATGCCTCTACCCACAGTTCTTGTCCGGAACTCTCCTTCGCTTTTTTCTTTGTATTTCTTGTTCGCTTAGCCCAGTTCCACCCAAGCATTATGTCTGTCCACCCCTACCTCCACACTTTAACGCTTATCTTTCAGAAACTCAGTTCCTCTTTCTTAGCAAAATTATGGATGAACTAATGTTATCATTGCTTCAATTACAAAAATGCTGACACATTTCATTGCTCTCTTACTAATACACGAAAGAGAAAGGCTGGGGAGGGAGCTCAGTTGGTAAACTGCTTGCCTGTAACCACGAGGTCCTGAGTTCAGTTTCCTGGTGCCCATATAAAAAGCTGGGGATGGCAGAACACTTCTGCAGGCCCTGTGCCGAGAAGGTAGTGACATGAGGGTTCCTGGGACTTGCTGGCTAGCCAGTCAAAGAAAAATTAGCAGGTCCGAGGTTGAGAGATGAGACCCTGTCTTGAAAACTACACTGGTGAGTCATTGAGAGAGCTAATGCTGAATTTTTGCACACACACACACACACACTATAACCAAGCCAAGCTTAAAAATAATTAAAAATAAAGTTATTCCTTGCATCCAGAACTGCCAAGAATGTCTATGTGGACATGTCCTGTCCAACAATTACAGTCTAAGTGAATGATGCCTTTTAGAATTATAGTGCTCCATATTTATATGCCTGCCTGTGGGATATCTGCTTTCTCCCTTTAAAATGAGAAATAAGTTCATACTGTAAAAGTTTCTGATCTTAATTCTAACGAATACTTGGTTAACACATTGACTTACTTGTTATTGATGATTTACAATTTAAATTAGAACTGGAGCGCACACTCTTGGTTGGCCATGTGTTCAACTTTGTCTCGGAGAGTTATGCTATCTCAAAGGAGCTTTCTTTTGATAGTCAGATGCTTGTTATATTTAATAGGTTTCCTGCTCACAGCTGCCTCAGTTTATCATATTTAAGAAATGGGGTATGTGCCAGGAGCCCAGGAACTTCAACTGTATGTGCTCCTCAGGTGAAGCTCAGGGCACCAGCCCTACAGAGGTTATTTGACCTTGGAAATCAGACAGACTGGGAAGCCTCCTAACTATGTTATGCTCTTCAATAGATAACATATGCTTTTGTTTCCTCCCTAGGAAAGTGAACAACAGTAGTGTTGGCCCCGTGGAGTCACCAAAGAGATGAAAACAGAGCCTGACACAAATGGAGTGCTCAAGAAATGTTAGCTATTATAAGTCTCTTTCATCAGAATATGTTTAACTCCTGTGGCCTCTGATGGATGGTCTCCCAGTATTATAGTTTGATGAAGATAGATGATAGATAGATAGATAGATAGATAGATAGATAGATAGATACATAGATAGATCAGAAATCAAGCCAAAATAATCCCTTCCCTAAAAAATAATCAAATTAAGAAATAAGAACTCCAATAAGATAGATGAATGTATTCTCCACTCCAAAGGGGACATTTCATGTCTATTTTATTGATGCTGTACAAATACAGAGAGTACATACATGTCTTGTAGTCTCAGTGTGCTGTTGCACAGGGTCTCCATATGAACTAAAGAGGTGACACTTTTCTTACTTTCATTTTGCAGAAGACCTTGGGGACCCGCTAGGTTACGAGAATGTAAGAAGCCTTGGCCATGGCTCTAACAAGCCTCTTCCCCATGACTCTTTGCTTTATGCCAAATGACAAAAGAGAGAGTTAGGATGCTTGAGTTGATGACCACTATGAGGACTGCAGAGGACAACAAACCCTTGGCTTCAAATAAGAGGCACTGAGTTTGGGGGTTGAGGGTGAAGCCCAGGAGTAGAACGCTGGCCTAGAGTGGGCAAAGCACTGGGCTCCATCTCTAGGTAGGTGAGGGTGGTAAAGAAGGGGCAGTGTTTTCAGCCATACCTTCCCTCACGGGCATCTCTTATTAACTAGCAGTCACTGAAAAGGTGGGCTAGGATGTCCAGAAGGCCTCCTGGTCTCCCCCCCCCCCCCCGCCCGGCGTCGTGACGCAACGCAACATGCTCTTTAGAATGTCACTTGAGAGCTTTCAACAGAACTCATTTTCCAGTTGCTCTTTAAGAAGTACACAACCTTATGCGTGCGCGCGCGCACACACACACACACATACACACACACACACCTTTTTCATAATTTTATTTTCACCTCCAAGGAGTCACCATTTCATCCTCTTTGTCGGTAAGAATCCTTTTTAATGCCCTTGCCAAGTTATTATTCGTTAAATTAAAATCAAAGACAGGAAGAAGCGAGGTAATGAGGGGCAGAGTCTGAAGAAAAACATGACTTGTCTTTCTCACCTCCTCTCTCCACATTTTTAATAAGGATTACAAACTAAGCAGGTGCCCAGCAGTTTAATAGTCCAAACTACGCTCTTACCAGATTCTAAGTTTCCCTTGTCACTCAAACCAACACACACTTGATCAAGATTTTTTTTTCCTGTTTACTTATGTTAATCGTCAAGCCAAACCAAACAGCCTTCTAGGTTTTGGATTCTGTGTGGCAATTACATATGAAGACATTACAAATCCTCTAGACAACAACAACTAGCCCCTTAGTGTCCCAGGCCAGGGGGCAGACCATCTCATTGCTGTGAGGTGTGAGGTCACAGCAGCTGTCACAGGCCATGACAGCTGGCGTCCCAGTGTCACTCACCAGCAACAGTTAGGCTGGAACACCCTCTCAGTGGCTGAGTTCCTTCATTCACTCACCCTGCATGTGTGTCATTGGACATCCAAGCTCTAGAGAGCCCCCTATCTAAATAAAAGACCTCTGAACAACTCAGTCTGTAGTTGGGAAGACGCTGAGAAGATTGATGAAATTACCACACAATGTTAGTGTCAGTGAAAGTATGCACAACGAGCCAGGAAGACAGAGAGAAACCCAGCTCTGGGGAAAAGGAAAGTGTAACCTTCCTCCCTCCCCCGCCCCCCAACCCCCGCCCCTTATTGCCACACAGAAGGAAACTGGTACTTCTTATTCTATACCCATTGGATGATTACAGGGTTGAAGACTCCAGATCTGCAGAGTTAGATTCTGGAGTTCCTCATATTCATGGGCAGGGAAAACTGTTTTGAAAGGCAGCCTGGATTTCACACCACTCTGGGAGACCTAAGCAGGAAAAACACTTCACGGGCTCTCCACCCAGAGGGACCTGGAATCCGGACTGACCGGCTGAACACCCTGCGGGGGAAGTGAACTTGTGCCTAAATCGGCAACATCTTTCCCAGCCTTTGGCACTGCTCAAAACTCACAGCCTCACGGACGCTCGGGGCTGGAGGGGAGGGAAGTGGAGGAGTTTAGCATTCAAACACTGCCACCTCTCTCTGGTTCCTTTACCTTCCGATCTTTACGGCTGGATTGCCCGGGCTGGGCAAATGTTGCCAAAGTAGAAAAGTACCAGAACCGCCACGAGTCAGCGGCCTTGCTCTGCAACCTGGGCGGGTGAAAATCCCGTCTGCTCTCTATTTCCCGTTCCACTTCCCAGGCTCTACACTGCGCTTGGATCGTCCACAGATAAAAATATAAAACCACGTGCAGCGAATAAGTATGAAACTTCCTTCCGACACTGGTGCACTAAAGCACCCCATCCAAGCCAAGCAAACCCAAGCCGTCTAATCTTTTCGCACAGCAAGTGTCGGGGCCAGGGCGAGGGTGACCGTGAATTGCCCCAACCTAGTAAAGTTGTCAAGAAGTCCGCGCCCTCCACTGCCTTGACAAGACAGACGCACAGTGGGTCCCTTGCGCTGCGGGGCAAGTGGCTGAGCGTGAGTGTGAGTGTGCGGGGTGGGCAGAAGAGCAGGTGGTCCTGCGGGGTAAAGCCCGCACAGCGTTAACCCCTTACCTTCCAGCAGCACTTCCTTGCCTGCGCGCTTCAGCGCCTGCACCGCCTCGTCGTGGGTGGCGTCCCGCAGGTCCGCTCCGTTCACCGACAGGATGGCATCGCCCACATACAGGGCTTGGGTCTGATCCGCCGCCAGCCCCTTGAAGATCTTGCTGATGAGTATGGGCATCTTGTTTTCCTTGCCCCCCTTGATGCTGATGCCCAGCCCGCCCAGCTCCTGCTTCAGCACCTTCACGCCCCTCTTCTGGTTGGAGATGGACTCGGGCACCTGCTCGGGGAGGTCGGTGAAGGCAGTGCGGACCCCAGCGGGAGAATCCGGGGGCTGAGCGACACCGGTGCCCGGGTGCCCGGTCCCGGAGCCCCTGCAGAACGAGCCATTGGTGGCAGTCCCTATGCCGTTGTACGCCGCAGCGCCCTCCTCGCAGCTCAACACCAGGGCGTCCTCGCTCAAGTTCACCAGAACTTTATGCCAGCGATCCCGCACCAAAACTTCCAGCAGTCCGCTCCGCTGCGCCCGGCCGCCTCCCCCACCAGCCGGCGCAGCCACAGCCGCTGCCGCTACCGCCATCTTTCCAGCATTCTTAAAATGCCATGTGATTGCAAACGGGGGGAAAAGTGGAGAAGGGGTGCGGATGGGAGGACTCGGGTCACCCGGGCGCCGAAGAAGCAAATGCCCCGCAGCGCGCACTCAGGACCTGGGACTCTACTTCCAGTGTTCGCGGCTGCGCTGGGCGCCAGTTGGCGGCCGCTGAGCTGGTTCCCCCTAGCCTGATTCTGGGAGGGGTGGAGCAACCTAAAAGAAGAAGGAGAGCCCTCAACAGGGGAGGAGGGAAAAAAGCCAGCTGCCAGTTGCAAAACCTCAAACCGAGAGGAGCCGCGGAGCTGCCAAGTGCCGGAGAAGAATCGGTAGGAGGAGGCGAGGGCGGGCGGGGACCCACCCGGGGCCCCAGCCGCTCACCTGTTCGCCGCTGCAGCGTCACACTCCCACGTCGCGCTGGCTCAGATCCGGGTGCCTCAGTTCTCGCTTGCACCTTGCCTTGCCGCAGCTCCCCCAAAGCCACCGGGTCCCGCGCCGCGACACCCACCGCGCTGACACCCCCTTTCTTCCCAACCCTCCGTTTTCGATGGGCTCCCACACTCACCTTTACCAGTTGGCTCACTCTTTCCTCTTGAGTCAACTTCCCTCCCTTCTTCCTCAGTTGCCTGAAGATCCAAGTCTTCCTCAAACCAAACCTTCTCTGTCTATACTCAGTTCTTATCTCCCTCACAACCTCCCCAGCCAAGGCCTCTGGGAAGAAAGAAACTGCTGAGAGAGAGAGGTCCTAGGCTGTGCCAGAAGCCAGGGGAAAGCTGTCACAAGAGCACAGAATGAAGCCTTATTAAGCCCGAGTACCCCTATCCTCTATGGCAAGGCAAGGCATCTTTTGGTTTTTTGAAGAGAGGATGGCTTTCATAACCTCCTCTGAATTTCAACAGGACACTGCCCGCCTCGTCTCCAGGACAAGTGTCTAACTTAATCTCCTTTCTGTGCTTTGCTCCATGCCCCCCACCCCCCCATATCCGTGCCAGCCCAAATGCTTCTTGAGGCTTCCTCTTTCTTTCTCAGATTCCATACAGGAAGTGTCTTCTTTAAAAACCGAGAATAGGTTGCACCTCCAAGTTCCCTGAAAATTGCTTGCTTGTCTCTGAAGCTGCACTGTCCCAAGGCGAAGGCATTGTAATTCTTGGTTCTCTTCCTAGGCCAGTCAGGAAACACCACCTTACCCTTAACTCAAGCCATAGCTGGCCATCCCAGAGTTCTGCTGCTATAGAACTTCTAAAGCTCTCCCTGTCCCCTAAGCGGGGCCCACAGTTCACTTAAAGAGACTCAAGTTTCTGACTTCCTTGGTTCGTGCTGCTCTCTCTCCTTTCTCCAGAAAACAAAATAAAACCACAAATCTGCTAATTCTGGAAGGTGAAGTCCACCCGAAAGATGACAGTAGGAAGGGGGTCTTTGGAAACTTGTATATCATCACCCCACTGATGGGCATTACCAGCAAAGAGCCAGTCCTTTCCAGAGTGACTTACTCAAGAATGCTTAAAAACTCACAGGAATCCCTGTGAAGGCCTAGGCAGGTTCACAGAGCTCAGGGAAAATACTTCAGGAACTTTCTTGGGGAACTGATGTCACTGCATCTCACAGATGACCCTTGGACTGATGCTTTTGACCCTCCTGCTTTTATGTTTTAACTTTCCATATTTCAAAAAAAAATTTTTTTTTTTTTCATGAAAACCTGCCCACAACAGGGACAGGAGCCCCAGGGAGCTCTTCAGTGTGGGTTAGTCAGGGAGCTGACACAGCTGATACCTCTGTTGGGGAGAAGTCAAGCAGCAACAGAGAGAGAAAGAGAGAGAGAGAGAGAGAGAGAGAGAGAGAGAGAGAGAGATCTGGCCTTCTGCTTTTGAGGCTGAGATCTCAGGCCCATCATGCCTTAGTGTTTGTTTTCCGAATGTACATAGGCACCAGAATGCCAATGTGAAGATGGGGAAATCAAAACCAGCCTGTCCCTGGACCAGAGATTCTCCAGCCAGCACACCAGCACCTTGCCTCTGCAGCTAAGGTGTGGAAGGATGCCAGGAACACCCACAAAGTAATGGATCTATTAGCCATTAGAAATGGCAGGCTCTGGGATGGGCCTTTCTGCGAATCTCTGCTAAGCACATTTTCTTCTATATAAGCACACCTATGTGGAAAGAAAATATGTTCCCAGTTGAAGGTTGCATCAGAATGAAAGGAGACAAATGTTGAATAGCATGAGGCCTGAGGTGTGCATGTGGGATTGTAATTTACAGTCCCTATCCTAAGTACTGTGCACATATTAACCCAATCCTCTGGGCAATACTTGAGATCCATTTCTGATCACTCCCATTTACAGGTGAAGAAGTGGAGGCCCAGGTTTAATAACCTACCTGGCTCATATAATCAATAAGTGAGAGTAAGGACTTGAAACTTAACCACTGTCTTACCTCTGTTAAAAATACAGCTCAGCAGCTACAGCCTCAGTGCTCATCTGAAGACAGAGCCCCTTCTATTCCATCAGGGAAGAGTAACTCGCAGGTGAAGGCCCTGCCCTTCATTAGGAGGTAGAACCAACATTTCCTTCTGGCCTTTCTTCTTTGGAAAGCTTAGGGAACACCCTGCCCTCCTCCTCTTGTATTTAGATGTGGTGATACTCGAAAGGGGCTGCCATCTGGGATCCCACTAGTTGAGAAGCCTACTGCCATCCCTCAGACTACACCAAATGTCCAACCTCTGACTTCTTATCAGTGCTGACTCTCAAAGGTAAGCCTTCAGTGAGAATGCTCAAGCGGAATTCCCCACTATTCACAATCAAGACAGAAAACCTCTGGCCCCTGTGGCCACTGTTAGCATTCTGTCACTGTAGCTAACACCTGGGGATGATCAACTTATAAAGAGAAAAGGTTTATTTTGGCTCATGGTTCAAAGCTTCATGGCTTTGACCCTGTTGCTTTGGGCATCTGGAGAGGCTGTACATTTGCAACAAAACTGTTTGCCTCATGGCCAGTGAGCAAAAGACAGGAAGAAGAGTCTGGGGCTCACAGTCCGTTTCAAGGACTAGTCAGAATAACCTAAGGACCCTCAATATAGTGAATGGCCCTCCTCTTAAAGGTCCTACCTAACCTTTCAATAGCAAGAAGGTTGGAACTAAGGCTTTAGGACATGGAACATTCTAGATCTCAGTCCAATCAGACCCCAATAGGTCACCTCTTTTAAAAACAGTAGCCACTGGAAAGGACCATCTTACTGAAGGCCACATAGTGAATTTGTATAAAAGTCAAGACTAATTATTAATCATCACTATTCTTTAAGAGTTGCTTAAAGCCTGCCCCTGACAGAAAAACAAGATTTCTATCCTCCCCCATCTTCCTTATTTCATAGGACTCTCTGCACTCTGCCTGAAGTTTGGCTGTGAGTCTCTGCATCTGCTTCAGTCCACTGCTGGGTAAAGAGACCAACAAAGCCAAAATATCTGGGCCCAGGGGGACCTGCAGAGACTGATGCACCAACCATGCAACTCATTCCCTATGTGCGTTCCTTAGTAAGGGTAGAAGAGACAGTGTCTGCCATGAACTCAGTTGCCTGTTCTTTGATCACTTCCCCTGGCTGGGCAGCCTTGCCAGGGCACAGAGGAAAAGGATAGAGGCAGTCCTGATGAGACTTAATAGGCTAAGGTGGTAGGGGAGGAGGACTCCCCCTTTCAGTAGACTAGGGGAGGGGGAAAAGGCACAGAGATGAGGGAGGAAGGCTACAATTGGGATATAAAGTCAATAAATGGTAATAAATAAATGAAAAGGAAAAAGAAAAGAAAAACAAGATTTCATTCACACTGCTTTCCCCCTGTTCTATTAATGCTCTCCCTCCTATACTCTGACTTCCATTTTCCACCCAGCCTAAAGTTGGATTTCTCTGTTTCTGTTTCCCATAGGATATGAGTTTATCTAGAGATGAGTGGTCATAGAACTGTAAAAGTAAGTTATATGGTCCTCTGTTCCAAAGAACCAAGGATGCAGAGCAGCAGCATGTGGCTGATAAGTAGTGGTCTCTTTATCCCACAGTGTTCTGAGTGCAACTACACTGTCACAGCTCCTGTTGTGGTGCAGGGATATAGGAGGCATAAAACTGGCAAAGGCCTGCTTTAGGAGGCTTTCACCATAGTGGGTGGCGAAACGGGTGCAGGGACAGACTCTAAACATAAGGTCCACATAGAGATAAATGTTATGAAGTAAGGGGGAGCAAAAATAGGAAATTTAAGAGTGACTGGGGCAAAGGCCTATGGAGGGGAAGTGGAGATAGAGTGAGATCCTTTGTAAGAAGGTGAGATTTGGATGAGAACAGGTTGCTGGGGCGTTGAGAGTGAATGGGTGTAAAAGCAGGTTTCGAGGAGTTTCAGTGCTGGGCTAGTGATCCACATCCAGAGATGAAGTATAAAGGAGATCAGAGGGAGTAGATGGAGCAGATTCCACAGTAGGACCAAGGGAGATGGCAGCATAGACCATCCTCCTTGTCTTCTTTTAAACATCAACAATAATGTGGTTTGGATTGGAAAGCAGTTCTGATTTAATATGCTATATTGTGTTTCTTGTTACATAAATGTCTGCTTGTTGTGGAATACTCTGAAATATTTGGAATTGGAAAAATTCTGTAATTTTGACATCATTTTAAAAGAATAGCACTGAGCATCTCTAGGGCTTTTATTTTATTTTTTTTTTATTATTTTTTTTCTCAACGAAAAATAGTAGATATAAGATAGTGGAAGAACAGCAAAGCTCTTCGATTTATGAGGTCATATTAAGGGAAAGGATGAAGGAGGAACAGCCTGAGGCTCAAAAGGCATCCACCCTAAGTTGAGCCAGCCTGGCAAATACATATTGGCTAAACACCGGGTCCCTGCTTTTGTGAAGATGTAAGGCAGGTGATAGGAGCAAGCACACCCAGGGACGCAGAGATGATGAAGACAGGAAGACATACACGCAGCACATGGGGAGAACAGGTTGCTGTGGTACTGAGAGTGCATGGGTGTGAAAACAGCTAGCTTTCAGATTCCAAGTCCCGGTGCTGGGTTAGTGTTAGCAACGCACATTTCGAAGATAGAGCATGAAGACAGAAGGGCTGTGAGGAAGGCAACGGCACGTGAACAGGAGGCAAGGTGGCTTCGCCTGTGGCGTGCCCCAGTTGGATAATAGGTCCATCATCATCTACAAAG